AATTTTCTTGTATTTTTAAAAAAAGAGAAAAAAAGCTCATGATAGGAGCTTTTCCTAAAGCTCTTTTTTTAAAAAATTTATTCTTTAAAAATAGCTATTTTTTAAAAAAACTTTTCAAAATTTATGTTTGGCCTGATTTTTGCTTTTAAAAGATAAATAAGTTGAAAAAAAACCAGACCAAACAAATGCTAAGACACTACGTTTAAGATCATTCTCCCAACAAATTTGCAAGAATAAAGAAAACACATCACAAGTCTTGATGTAACTTTTGATTTTAATCCATCCCTCAAATATTTTTATGTTAAATTGATCTTGATAATTGCATGAAATTAAAGGGATAAGTACGATCAATTTTAATGCATTTGTCATAATTTCTTGTCATGAATAGTGGCCTTACAAAAATCAAGTTGCATTATTGAATTAATGGTCATACTTCATTTTTGAGAACAAGTGACTAAGCAAGTTTTTGGAGATTAGCAGCCACATATTTTAATTAAATAATACAACAAAGTAGATCTCATAGACTTGTTCTATTTGTCCTCTTGGGTGGTAGGGATTGAATTTGATTCTAAAGTGATTATTTCTTAAGTGTGTAATATGAATTGAATCACAAGATAAATGAGTTTGTTTAGTTGTCGACCGGTCAAAGATATTATATGTTTGGTAGTAGCATGGATTGAGATTTGGTATTTGTTTTGATTGTTGTATCTGATTTAAGATTTTAATAGTTTGTTTTGTTTATTTTAATTGATAGATACCCCTTGTTATATTAAGATATTCATGTTTACAAAAGTGTCTCCCAAGCCTATAACTGTAAGTTATGTCTAGCAAAAGCCCATGTTTCGGCCCATAATCTCCCTTTTTAGAGGATTTGGGCTTAGGGATAGTAGTGGTTGGTACGTTTTAATCGGATACTTGACTTAGTTAAATCAGATTTTGGATAATATTAAATGGATACGATTAAAATATAAATAATAAAATTATTTTTTGATATAGTTATTCAAGAACTAAGATAATAAAAAATTAGTAAAGCACTAAAGTAATAAACCATAACTTGTTGTCGTAATCATCCTATTTTGAATAATTAATAAAAATTATTAAATGTTTTTGGTTAGCTTTATGAATAGTAATGATAGAAGGATTTGATTAGTTTTGGCATAATATTCAAAAAAATTCATAAACTATTCGAGAAAATTTAAATAAATCTTTATATTTTTATTATTTTCAATTAAATTTTTATACTTTTTATTTTGACCTAAATAAACTTTTGTTTTTATTTTAAATCAAATAAGTCTTCATGATTAATGATTAATTTAGTTAAAATGTCATTTTATATTATGTGAAACTAATGTGACATATTGTCATATTATAATTAATGATGATATGATATGTTAATATATTACAATTAATGATGATGTGATATATTAATTTAATATGATAACATGATTATATGGTAATTTTTATTCTACACATCAACGTTATATAGATATAAAATAATATATAATATTTTAATTAATAACAATTAATCAATAAAACTACATAAATTTGACTAAATGCAATAAAAAAAATTAAAACTCATTTGAATTTTTTTAAATAATTTTAGAGTTTATTTAAGTATAATGCCATTAGCGTTTGTATACTCTAATAATAAACGGTTTTAGTTTCAAATGATTCAATATAAATAGATATTCTACCGATTGTAACCCATATTCAAGTTAATTCGAAAATGTAAGCGAAGTTTTCGTTTGCAGATCGAAGGTGTCGTGGTGTGGTAGGTTATCACGTCAGTCTAACACACTGAGGTGCCTTTTGGTACATTACAATGTAATATGATTATAGATAATGTGATTGCAAGTAATGTGATTGCAAGCAATGTGATTACAGAAAAAATAACATTACAGTGTTTGGTATACAAGCAAAATAATGATTAAAATG